TCGCGGCGGGAGGGGGAGGGGGGTTGCGATTAACCGCCAAACCGCGGTGATTTGTTGCGTCTTCACCGCGGTAAGAAAAATCCCATACCGTCACAGCCCTAATATACACAGTGCCTTGTATATACATTATACATACAGTATATACATACTGTATGGAAACTTTTTTCTCTTATTTCTTTCTTTTAATTGGCTAAGAAATCAGATACACTGTTGGACTATGATTTGTTAATGTACTACAAACACTTTTTTTTTTTTTATCACATAAGGCAGGATAGTTTCTGTAGCCTACTGTAATAAATGTTATGTCAATTAGCACTGAATTGTTCATATATTTATTTATTACCTGGAGATGATTTTAAAAAGCACAAATAAACCATATATTGTCACAATCGTGTGTTTAATGTCTTCACGTTTCCAAAGGTTTCTGCCTTTTATTCAGATTATACAGTGATAGCTGGACGCTTTTGTCCATATTAGGGATTTCCTGGTACGTTGTAAGTTATTACTTCTATATGAGTCCGTCTTGCACTTTCTGCGTGAGAGCGCACTCTGGCTTCGAGTATGAATGAAACACACACTGAATGAGAGTATTGAGCGCTCCGTGATGTTCATCTCACCTCATTCTGGGTACTAATAAAACATTAGGTCATGCACAGACTATCTTGTCTCTTTGAATTTAAATCTATATTCTTTCACACCGGCCCTTTAAAACCTCTATAACACACTTGCCCGAAAAAAAAGTGTCAAATGACACAGTCCTTGGGAAATTTCACATGAAATCACCAAAAAAAATCTTCGTCAACATACTGTGAATACTTGATAGATCGCGCAGCACTAACAGTGAATATTATTAACCTTGGACAACAGTCCATAACACTATTGCAAAAAACATTTAAAAAATTATAGACATATCCTAAACAGTTAATTAGCCTGTGACACCTACTGCGCTTGATAGCACCAGCAAGATTGTCCAAAAGGTAGTTCAGCAGTCGCCGGGTACCATCTGGCTCCTGGTAGAGAGTCATAATTTCTTGAGTGAGTGGATTGCCTGCAGAGAGACACACAAACAATCAGTAGGAAACATTCCCTACACAGTGAGAATGTCAATCACCAGAACAATGACCACTCACCTTTCAACCCCAGTGTTTGTAACTGAAACAGTTTCCCCAATTCGAACGGCAGAACCCGCAACTGGTTGTTATTTAAAAGTAGTTCCCTGTGGAAACCATGAAACAAAAGTAAAAACTAACAATATACCAGCGGTGTGCTTGATGCTAAACTTAAAAAATAAATAAATAAATAAAACTTTTCAGTAAAATCTTGACCAATGTATTATCACAATTTTCATGTCATTTGTGATGACTGAATAAGGACTTTTTTAAAATCATTGTTAACATTTACAATAATGTTCACATTTGTCAACATTACTGAATTAGCTAACATGAACTAATAAACAACTATTTTTTACAGCACTTGTTAATCTTTGCTAATGTTACTTATGGCAAATATAATTATTTATATGTTATATTTTACATTCAGCAACACTTTTGATTTAAAAAATGTATTACAAATTGTTTAAATTAACTAAAATTAACAAATGCTGTAAAAGTATTGTTCATATTAACTAATGTAGTTCAAATAAAACCAAAATATATTTTAAAAAGCATTTTAAAAGTGTACCAATGTGCTGTACAGTTTCAAAAATAGAATAAAAATAGAATACAGTCAGATACAATAATAAAAAGGAAAAAATGTCAGAAAAGGAGATTGAAAAAAATATCACAAATTAGGGCTGGACGATATGGCCAAAATTGATATCACGATATATTTCTTAATTTCGGTCGATACAATATAATTCCGATATCGATATGAACACTATTTATCTGAAATATAAATCTTTTGTAACATTATAAATGCCTTTATCATCACTTTAATAATATCGCGATACATATTGATATTGAATTACTGTCCAGCCCTATCACAAATACATCTGCTCAAACCTAATGGTCATTAATAACAGTGCAGGCCTCACTAATGTAAACAAATGAAACTTTATTTTAAAGTGTTAACAAATCTTTTTATAAAGATTGCACTCACATAGAGCAATTTCTAGGTGATAATTGTTATTAAAACAGTTTTTTAAGAACTGAAACTTAAATTCACTATTTACATTTATAACAGTGAAATAAGGAAATCCTGGATTTTAAAACAAATCACAATTTTAAAATTCCCTGACATTTTCATGACTGTGGAAACCCTGTCGGAAGTGATCTAGTTTCATCAAGTATGCTCATGAAAACATTAAAGTGGTCATATGATGCGATTTCAAGTTTTCCTTTCTCTTTGGAGTGTTACAAGCTGTTTGTGAATAGATAAGATCCCTAAAGTTGAAAAGACTAAAGTCTCAAACCCAAAGAGATATTTTTTATAAAAGTTAAGAATGGTCCACGCCCTCCTAAAACGCCTCGTTCAAACACGCCCCCACATGTCTACATCACTGTGTGGGAAGATTTGCATAACACCGCCCAAATGTTCACGCAAAGAAGGTGTAACTTTATTGTTGCTGCCACCGCCGCCGCCATGTTATGAAGACGCTGTGTGTTTCGTTGCGAAAGCGAAACTACTTTGTTTGGTCTTCCAAAAGAGGACACGACTAGAAATCAGTGGTTAAGTTGTATTTACAACACTGTTCCAGAACAGTTCAACCCAAATATTCAGATGTGTGCAGCGCATTTTATGGAGGACTGTTTCCTGATCCTGGGAGAATAGACTACAATGCCGGCTGTTCTGACTCACAGACTGTAAGTACATATTCATATTTAAAGAATTTGCCACTGATGATTCAAACGCGAGTTTGTTGCTTTTGTCGCTTGTTGTCTGTCATTTCTCCAATCACAAATGCAGACATGATTTTATGTTTACGCGGCGCGATGCAACACAACACGTAAAAAGACAGTACAAGTCATTATAATCTGTATTTATTAGAGCCCGACCGATATATTGATTTGCCGATATTATCGGCCGATATGAGCCTGTCGCCGATATATCGGTATCGGCGAATATGCCGCCGATATGCCGCCGATATGAAAAATTTTTTTACAGAACATATTAGGGCTGTGTATCACCAGCAAAGTCACGATACGGTACGTATCACGCACCGTCTCTGTTCCCTCCATCAGAGAACGAGGGTTATCATACGTAACCGAGATGTTTCTACAGCTAACAAACAAGCAAACAATAAATAAATAATCATAAAACATACTATGATAAAATGTTTTTTTTGCATTTGCAAATTTGTTTTTAGCTAATTTTGAATGTCCATCAGAGGAGAGAGTTAGTTACAGCTAGACTTGTGCCGGTATTCGGTTATGCGATATATCACGGTAATTACTATGCACGATATTGTTATCGTGGGCTCTTCTAAAT